CTTCCGATCTCTGGGAGCTGAAGTCCACTCATCTTAAAGTGGCCAAGTTTGGACAACACTGCATTAGGTCAACCCCAAGGCGATCCAGAGAAGCATCTATAAAAGCAAAGAAGTCTATCAAATGCCAGCAGTCTAGTTGATGGCAAAGCCTGGTTCAAATCTCTTCCATCTGAGAGAACACAGCTTTGCCCAAGCTGAGGCTCCCACTAGGGTTACGACTCCAGCACTCAAATTCACTTCCCAGTTTGGGGAAGACCACTCTAGATAGTGCCTTCAACAGCAGAGTAAACTGATGAACACAAAATCCAGCTGAAATAATGATCACATTTAAAAAATCCTTCTGTGGTCATAGAACCAGACCTGGAAAGGACCTTCAAGTCCAATCCTTGCTCCATACAAGAAGCCAGATTCAAGCATCCCCACGGATGGCTATCTAGCCTCAGTTTGAACACTGTTACAAAGTTGTTTCCTAGCAATTCATTGGAATCTGCCTTCCTGTTCTTGATCATAAAGTCCTAGACCAAGATATAGAGAGAGCCAGGTCAATCTCTCAAGATCCCACCAAGGGCTGACTCCACTCAATGGCAGAAATTCAAATGGCATCCCTGGGCAGTCTGAAACTCTTTGGATGATTATGAAGATTATCCTCAGCTGCCTTAGAAGCTCATTTCCACCATCATTAATCTTTCTCTGCAATATGCAGTGACATAAGAGTGTTGCTGTACTCTTGGGGGCACTTTCAATTCACCCAGGGGAGGGGGCAATACATGGGACTCTAATTTGATTGATTGATTGATTGATTGATTGATTGATTGATTCACCACCCAACTCCAATGGAGTCTGGGCAGCATACAAAATTATTATTATGTGTGAGTCAGCCAAACATCCTAGAATATGCCACATGATCTTCTACAATGCTTGGGCAGATAAATCAGTGTGGAAAATCTCTGAAGTTAGAAACATATTAAAATTGCTAGCCTAGTTAAACTGAGTTTAACCTTATTCATCCATCACTACCATCCCCATTCATGTCAAGCATATAGTTCTACTTCTCTTCAAGCTGGAGTTTCCAGCTGTTGGGTGGTTCTTCTTGCCTTCCTGTTCTGGGAACCTTCCAAGAAGATTTCCACAAAGGATGCCAATATGACCCTTTAAAGAAGCTATTTGTTAAAAATATCCCCTCTGATACCAGCAACATGTTTATTTCTCTGTAATACCGTCACCTGTGACAGTGTATAATTGCAGGTTGTTCAAAAACGTCATCTACCCACTCAGTCCTGAAATAAAATACAATCATGAAAGAAATCAAAACCTAAGATTTCAACCTGGAATTGAGAATGGCTTTGCAACAAATTGTTTCATTTTTTAAAATATTAAAGGAATGTACTCATTTGAGAATAGGGCCACAGAAAAGAATCTTTAAAAATCTACGACATGACCTCTTCAACTGCACCTGAAGCATCTTTGTGTTTCCAAAAATACTTTGAAAAATCTGTTTTATTGTCCAAATGTTGGGGGAGGGGAGGTGTTTTGTGATTTACCATTGGTGTTAACTTTTTTTCATGTACTGTGTCAGAATTATCAAAATTCATGCCCTTGTAACATCCCAGAATTCCCAGCCAATGACCATTTATAAATTCCCACCCAACATATCTGAATGGCATCAGTTTGGAGGGAGGGTCTGATCCATATATAGAGAATCCATGCATAGAAACGTAACTAAGAAAGCAATTCCCACCTGGGTCATAAAAATGCAGAGGCAGCTTTGATTTTGAATCTGGAGAGACAGGAATTTACAAAGGACAATTATCTCCTGCTTCCATCCTTCCTCACATTCCTATCCATATCAGTGCCACTCATCAGTAAATCCATGTGGTTTTCTTGGTAAAACCAAGCTCCCCCAGCTGTCTCTGTAAATTGGGAAAGGTGGAAGGAAAGAGAAGAAGAAGATGACAAGCAGCAAGGTGG